ATCCATATACAAATGTGTTTAATATTTACTAATTCCATATCCTAATTTGTGTGATGGATTCAGTGTATGTGCTATAACTACTTTTATTCCAGTTCCAGATCATAGTTTCTGTATTGGAAAGGTTCTATTTCTTGGAACACCTGGCAAAGAATATTGGTGTTTTGTTGAATAATAATACCTGTCTAGATAAAACAAATCTCGCGGTGAATATATATTATTTAAGCACTAAAACTCATGTCTTTTAAATTCAGAAATCGGAAAGTGAATTGGAGCAGCGAATGATGCGTTCCAATGACTAAACGAAGTTAAAAAAAATCATTTTGTTTAGAAACAAAAGAAATAGTGCTGGATTATTATGTGACAGTAAATCCTGCTCAATTTCCTCACAGATAAAGAGAAGGCTTGAGGCAACGGAGATGTGGTTCTGTAGAAGAATGCTAAGAATACAATAGACGAAGTACGTGATCACCTTGGAGGTTTTAGGGCTAATGGAAACCAAAATGACACTTTTGCTTCGAATTAAAAAGTGACAAGAGAAATTTGAAATGAAAGTAATTTGGAGAATTTGATACTCACAAGACATACTAAAAGTAAGAATGACATAGAGAAACAGTGAGTAAACTATCTAACGAAATTGTTAAATGGATGACAGAACAGAGAATAGAAGAATAGAGACAAATATTACTATGAGCTATAAAAGCAAGGAAGTTATGGAGAGCCATGATCGCACACGTCATGAGGAGAATATAAACGATAAATATAGAATATTGTATCAATCAGATATATGTTTGTATTTTGCATTTGTTTTAAAAATGTCTTCTCCCCTTCGTTTGCTTGCGTTCTAAAAACTGATTGTCCCAAATTAAGTTATTCACTTCTATAGTAATATGTATGATAGATTGATTCATGTTGTACGGTTTATCAACCCTTTGCAAAATGGCAGAAAATATTTTTAGGTTGTAAAATTTCTTTTCAGGTTTAGTGTCACACGTCTTACTAATTAAAGTCATATCTTGGAGAAGAAGAACTGGATTCATACCTTTTCTAAGGAATTTGCATGGGAATTGGATTTCGGCACTCCAAATGTTAATTCCAAGTCATTATCCATTACACCACCCGCACATCCAATCTTGCAGTATCTAGTGTTTCCAAATAGTCACCCAACTAGTTACAGATCAAGCTCAACGTTGCTTAAATACGATGATTGTTCGTTAATCGGTGTTTCAACGTGATGTCGCTGTAAGCCCTATGCACTGCAATTGATATATTGCTAATACTTATTAAATATCAGCATATCCTGCAAACTTCGTTAATTCTAATTTTATTGTGATAATATTGACTTGCAAAAATAATTTAACAAAGTGTCATGTTTATTTCTCGCAACATTTTCCGTGTTTCGCACAACCTTCTTTGTTTTACGCCTTTTCAGATTTTGATATTACTTTGTTCCTTTACACAGTTTATCAAATTTGTTTACTTTGCTTTCCATAGTTTTTCTTAATATATTTTCAGAATTTGCTTTGTTTTCTCTTTTAGTTTCTGCTACTTTTCTTTGCTCGATTTACGCTTGCTTCTTATATTTTTGTCGCGTTCTACTTGTTCCGCTGTCCTTCCATACTTTAAGCGTTTTTCATGAAACGTTATTGTTTTATTTTATTCGCTTTGTTTATTTGCGCGCCTTGCTTTCTCTCTGCATGGAAACGCGTGAACATCTGAGCGCATGCGTATGAATCTATCTCAGATGAAGAAAATAATAGACACATTTATTGTTTCCAAACATATCTCACCTGAGGCAATTGAATTTTAGTGCACCAAGCAGGGAACGAACTAACAATCACTGGTTTGTTAGATAAGCGTGTTGACCTATACACTACGGACAAGGTGTGTCTCGGGTTTGATTTAAAGCGTATGCATGTATGTTATTTGCTTTGCTGTATATGTTTTATACGACCTGCTGTCTTTGTCGTCTTTTTCCGGCACTCAAACACGTAGGTAGTAGGATCGCTTTGACATATTTTATTGCGACGTTTCTGTTGATATGCTAGCGAGAAACAACGTCATAAGGACATTGGCACGTACACTCACACGTGCGCAAATTGTATCTGGCATGCCTACAAGTATATCTACACGCTTGCATTCATATATGTGAGCAATGTTGGCATAATTATCGCATTACATATGGTATATTTATTTGCTACCTGACAAAGGCAAAATGTGACGCATGGTCTTTTATAGTCTGTGGTAATGCATATACACATCCGACACGGCACACGATTCAAGATGACGATTTACAATGGCCCGATTCCGTCGGCATAGTACTGGAGACACGTTGAAACACTGGTTCTCGTACAATCACTGAAGTTAAGCAACATCAAGACTGGTCAGTACCTAAATGGGTGACCGTTTGGAAATACCAGGTGTTGTAAACTTAGGTGTGCGGGTGGTGTAGTTGAAAATGGCTCAGAATTGGAGTTCCAATTCCAGTCGGGTTCTTTCTATTCGCTTACACGCAAATAACCTTGGGAAAGTTATGGATTCACATAATCTCCCTTAGCTATCGGTTAATTAGTAGAAATTCTATTAGTAAATCATTATTATCTAAAAACATCTTACAATATAAAAATAGTTTTAAATAACATAGGAAGGTTGATAAGTCGTAAAAAAATCAGTCAGTAATGTAGACTTCATGAAACGGCTATGCCGATTAAATAACACGCGCCTTAAATCTCTATTAATTAACTAACATCTTATTAATTTTCATAATTTGTGATTTAATCTCGTTCAGTCAAGGTGTGAAGCGCAGCCACACCAGCAAGCGAACGTTGTTTTTACATTCTCCTTCGCGATGTATGAGAGCCTGCCTACTCACCAAAAATCTCACGTTTGTAATTCTGGATGTAGGTGTGGGGTCACGTTTTTCTGAATCTTGTGGCCGGGTGTAACATCCAGGTCAATCATGCGTCTGGTTTCCTTAGACGTTTGGTGTGAAATTTGAGTGCCATGTCTATTCCGACACAATACCTCCTTAACCCTTTACCTCTTACCGAAAGGAGGTGTTTCTATCAGGTGAATTGTTACCAGATTTCTCTATTTTTTAACCTACGTCGTTTGAAGACGAAGAGAAAGTTTTTGGCGATGAATCATTATGACAGACTAGCGTCAACGAGAAAATAGTTGCAATGATATATATATATATATATATATATATATATATATATATATATATAAGCGTTACACCCAAAGCAAGGCGGGAAGCCACTAGCACGCAAGGGGTTACAGAGAGTTGGAGCTAGAGCAAATAGGAGTGATAGAGGAAAGGATGAAGAGAAGGATAGGAGATAGATCAAGGCATCTGGAGACGTCGATTGACATTACATTTGAATAGTTGGAGATTATAGCTATCAGGGAAACAAGAAATTGGGAGGGAGTTCCACAGGCGAGAAGTGCGAGACATGAAGCTATTAGAGTAGAAGAGACGACTACATTTAACAGTTTCGACAGTGAAAGGGTGAAAGCAAGATGCCAGTTTAGTTGAACGCTTAAATTCATGAAATCTGGGAACCGGCGGAAGCAGCTCATCGGATATATATGATTATTGTGTAAAAACTGGGACCGCAGCTTATCTCATTCCATTTCAGCATCCAACTCTGGTTACCGGAGTTCGATTCTGGAGTTCAGCTGGAATCTTTTCCAACTGTGCTGGTCAAACTCTACCTGCGGGCAGAGAGGATCCCCAGGCTAGGTCGAAGGTCAAAGGGCAAAGTCTCGTCTCGGGAAACAGCTATCCGACCCTGTTTTATATGGGGAATTTTTGGCAGAGCCTAGGGGTTCGGATTTCCCCACTTTAAAACTTGGCCTTGTGCCAAATCTTACCTTGTGGGGAGGTTGGTAAATATATCCATTTCAGCATAAACATGGGCAACTCAGATTCAAACGAAAAGATGGCTATATTTTTAACCTATCGGAATTCTGTCACACCAACCGAGTCTCTTTGTCCGTATACTTATAAACACAAATATAGGTATCCTGAAGAATAAAGTTTGGTTTTATCTGTATAGAATAAGTTATAGCTTAGAGATTTAACATTTATGTTACGCTATAACGCTAACAATTAAAATAAGTAACTGCGCTACTTAGTTTTATTTTTATTTATTTTAATTTATGAAACTATGTTTCATTTGATACTAATCACACGGAATTGAAGGCTAATGACAATATGTAAATTAATCTATGGATATATTATAGATATCTACCGCTATAACCATATTAACCATAAAGCAATGCTGGCATTATATTCTTATCAAGTTACAACTTAACCCAAAATATATAAAATGTAGAACTAGTGAAGTATCAAGAATATGATTTTGTAGGTAGTATATCAATCAAAATATATCGCCTATAAGTAAGATTAGTACGAGGTCACTTATAAGTACAACTAGTTACAATTAAAGCACAAGTCAAGTTCAAATGAGGTTAATTATTAACAACAGTAATATTATGAGTAAGTACTTAAAAAGTGACGAACTTAACAATTCAGGACATTGAAGTGTGTTATGTTTTATGGCTTATCAACATTTTTCAGGTTATTTAAAGCTAGAAAGTTACTTTTAGATTGTAATTACTTTTTTTTTGGATATAATAATGATTTACTAATACGCGGCTTAAATCTCCATTAATTAACATTTTATTAACTTTCATAGTTTGTGATTTAATCTCGTTCAGTCTAGGCGTGAAGCGCAATCACACTGTAGAAGCCTCAGCCGAACGTCGTTTTTACATTTCCCGGGCCGATGTATGATTGACTGTCCACTCACCAAAAGTCGCACATTTGCTATACTGGATGCAGGTGTGAGTTTATGTGCCATAGCTGTCGGGAGAAACGGTGGATTCATACCTTTTTCCAAGGGTATTAGCCCGTAAGTGAATAGAACGACTTTGAATGGAATTGAAACTCGACTCTCCAATTTTCCATTACATAACCCGCACATCCAAGCTTATATTACCTGGTATTCTCAAGTGGTCACCCATCTAGGTACTAACCAGGTTCGACGTTGCTTAACTGGTGATCGGACGAGAATTGGTGTTTCAACGTGATATAAGAGCTCTTTGTATTACTAGGGTATAACAGGCAATGCATTGTTATATTATAAGAGGCAGATTGGCTGCATCAGGGAAATGCAACTAGAAGGATTTAAAAATCATACCTGCTGGCATCTTGATGCAATAACGGACTATAGATGAATAGTTGGACATAAAATTATTGTCAGCGATCTAACAAGTAACAGCTAAAACACACAAAGCTTAGTTTTGTCTAATAGATGACCACATAGGGTGTAGGTGTAAAATACGTTGCACAAGACTTCCAAGTGTGTGTTTGTGGGGAGGGTACTGGTTTGTGGGGGAGGGTACTGGTTTGTGGGGGAGGGTACTGCCTGCGTTGATTATTCTGACATTCAACTTCGTTTGAACACCAAACGCAGGTGACATTGTAAAATATGACTTCAGTCACCAAACAGATCTTATGTACATACGGGTACTATAAATATTTACTAAGTTTCACTTGATACATCTTAAGCGCAAATGCCGATGGACGGCAAATAGAAATATCACATTACTCCAAACTCTTTATTGTGGAGCTGAGGAGGTGTTTTAATTGATCTATCTTTCTACTTTGAAAAATCAGCTTTCGGTTTCCTAGCATTTTACTTAGGATCGAACACCCACTCTATGAATCCCATCAATGACACATACTAAATACTTTATTTGTTAACTTGTCACATTTGCATTTAAAAAAAAAAGTCGGCTATCAAAACCTTATACTGTCTAATACTTTGGTACTATGGATGGGAGGACGTTTACAAGAGGTTAGGGTTCTATGAAAAAATAGCGAAATGATATGAAGTAAGCAGTAATAAAACATACATATTATACGATAGCAAACGCAATACCCAATACGTATATGCAGGTAAGTCAATAGGTTATTACCTTTATGATGGGAAAAAGTTAATTTTACAAAGAAAACATATTTATTTTTAATATAAAAATTGTCCATATCAATGTACCTAACACTTTTCAGAGATCCCAAATATAGAATATTATACAGTGGAAATGCCAGATCAAATTTCGACTCATAACTATCCATCAGACTACAGACTTATTAATCACACTACCGTGCCTAGGTATGTCTGTATGGGGGGGGCTTATTGAGGAATAGTAGTCAGGAAGTTTTTTTGCGGACTATTATAACTACATTGAATTTAGTACTCATTAGGTGATTATAAAACATACGTCTCAGAGATATTGTATTTTTGATTTCAAATTATTTTTTTTTGACTCGCATACAACAACAGTAACTGAATCAACTTCACGGTTCAATTCAATGAAATGATCTGCATATTTTCTATTATAAAAGCCATGAATTGGTGACAGCATTCATTTCTTGTTTACAATTGGCTATAAGACTGGATATGAAATACGTTAAGCTAGAAAAATAAATATGTACCGAATCGGTTCGAGAAATTGTGAATCAAAACGTTGTATGTCTGCAGACGTGTTGTAATCGATAGTATGCAAATATGTGGTCAGTAACAGTGCGTATATTCGTACTTATTCCCAGTGAGCAAATTTGACTTTGAAAATGTGTAGTTATGTATAGTCTGAAGAAGCGAATTTAGTGACAGTGCACAGATTCGTCGTTATTGACAATGTGCAAATTTACAGTTATTGACAGTGTACAGATTCGTTATTATTAACTGTCTGCAAAAGCGTCGTTATTGACAATGTTTAGGCTCGTAGCTATTGACAGTATGCTGTGACTGTCTGAAAATGCGTAGTTATTGACAGTACGTAGATTTGTAGATCTGAAGGATGAACATGTTCGTAGTTATTGAAAGTGTATAGATTTCTAGTCATTTTCAGTTTTAAAATACGGAGTTATTGACAGAGCTCAAATGCGTGTTATTGAGTCTTAATATGTATGTTTGTTGATTGTCTGGAGATGCTCGTTCATTGATAATCTGCAGATTATAATTATTGAAGGTCTGCAGGTGCATAGCTATTTACAGTGCTGTTTCTTTTTTTTCATTTTATTTAGAAACGCTCTAACCCCGATATATATATATATATATATATATATATATATATATATATATATATATCACGAATCTTCTATGTGATCATACTGCTTCATCCCACACTTTCAGTTTCATATATAATGAAGACGAATTGAAATAGTGAGGGAGACGAGGAGTGATTGAGAGAGCTAGAGAGGGGGAGTGTGATTGAGAGTAGAAGAGAGGTGGAGTGTGATTGAGAGTACAAGAGAGGGGGAGTGTGATTGAGAGTACAAGAGAGGGGGAGTGTGATTGAGAGTACAAGAGAGGGGGAGTGTGATTGAGTGTGCTAGAGAGGGGGAGTGTGATTGAGAGAGAGAAAGGGGGAGTGACTGAGAGAGAAAGGAGGAGCGATCGAGAGAGAAAGGAGGAGCGATCGAGAGAGAAAGGGGAGCGATTGAGAGAGGGAGAGGAGTGTGACTGAAAGAGAGGGAGTGGGGAAGAATTTACTATGTGACCAATATCCAACATTGCGTACGGTGTTAGATGGACAATTGGAAAGTTGATATTAAATGATGCGATATAAGTACCAACGATCGTTGTAGTCCAGTTTTATCCAGTAGAAAACGCTAACTCTTAGGACAACTGAACTGAAATGAAAGTACCTGCCTTCTCTTCAATTAAGGTAGACCAGGGATTCAAGTCATACAAAATAATCCAGTCTATGTGGTTTATATCAAGATGCATTCAGCAGGAGACACAATAAAAGGAATTAAATGCGCGGTATGAAAACTGCGTGTCGACAATTTTTCTAGGACTTGACATCCTACGTTTTGTCAATGTTAAACTTCTGCGTCGAAGATTTGTGTCATTGAACCAAAGGCAACAAAAAATTCTAGCTTTGATAAACTGAGAGCACTAACATGGATGTTGTACGTAATGGTTAACGAGCTAATTGCTGAACATTACTACTGAGTAGTGTGTTCGATCATCACTGGGTGCCCATTATTTGTACACTTGTGCCAGACTAAACTAATCTAAGCGCAGTAAACTCGAAGTGTAACATAAATGTTATTTAGATATACAATCATTAATAAGTCTTTGAATGCAATTCTGAAATTTTCGTAATTTCAGAAATCATATAAAAAAAATAAACACAGCTTTAGCAAAAAGTAAATATAAACTAAAAATTAGCCTAACGGCAAGGAGATACCCTCTCTAAAAATAAGACACTGCAATATTTAAAATATACCGTAAACGCCAATTGTAATACGACATTAACTAAATTAGCTGCTATTTGGGGTTAAGCCACGATGAAAATACCGGTTCTCGTTCGATCGCCGAAGCTAATACAACGATGAGCCTGGTTAGATGAGGGCTTTTTTTGGGAAACATAGGTTTCATAAACACCAACAAAAATATCCCACCTTTGTGATTCAGGTGGTAAAGCATGGTGGGGTGACTTGTTTCGAATCACATCTTACATTTGCGTAGCGGAGGAACGTCAGTGTTAATGGCAAAGAGACACTTTCTAAAAATGTGACACTGCAACCTTTAAAAGATGTCGCAGTCGCCAATTGTAATAAGTCATTTAAAGTGGAACTAAAAAACATTATGAATCTAACCATTCAATATAATATTCGTTCATGGACGATTTGAGAAGGAGAATTAAAAATTAATTCATCATTTAAATTATTATTAATAGACCTTCTCGGATAATTTACCTTGGAGAAAAAAAATAAAGAAACTAAATAAGAAAAATATTTTAGATGTAAAGAGTAACCATAAATTCTGGATACATTGGAAACATCATTAATATTCTTTTTTTCTTTTCTTCTGCAGATTGAATATAATTTTATCTGAAGAAGAGTGGACAGAAGGGAAAATCATAGAGATATATAGCAGATGCTTTCAATGCACATCATCCCAAAAGGAACCTCCACTACCTTTCTCGCAATGGGGAAAGTGTCTTGGACAAACCCCGTTCTGGACAACATGCTGAGAAAGAAGTTAATGCACTAAATTGAAAGGTCAGGTCAAAGCCTCCCTTGTGGGGTTTTAACGGGAAGGAGAAGCTTCCCATTACACTATTGCAGTAAGAGACTGGATAATGACAATATCTCTGTGTGGAATGGGTTCCTTGCTCACCAGATATCACTCTCCTTGATTCTTTTTCTGGAGTATGCTGAAGAAGGTGTACGCAAAATACAAAACGAAACAAAAAAAACACAGATATGAATCATCTGATGTAACGCATCACGAAAGAATGCGATCAAATTGACGGAAATGTGGCGTTACTGCATCGCGTTTATATGAATCTCGAACTTCATGATGGAAAACATGCTGAAAATTAATTGTTGAATAAAATTATTGAAAATATGCATTTTTACCCAAGTATCTAGACTTTACGGTCACACTCTATATAACTCCGAGCAAAATATGGTTTTTAAAACAAGAAAAAAATACTTAATACAAATAACTAAACATTTTCATACTAATGTCTTTGGGAATGACATGAACTAATCTCTTCTCCTCGTCAACTTATAAGTCCCAAGCTATGGGCTAAATAGCAGTGTAAACTGGAATCTCTTGCCTTATTTGGAAAAGAGTCTTCGAGAAGGAGAACTGTCTTTGGGATGGCAGGTATTTATCCCAGACGAGTCTCATACGATACAGCGATTGAAAACATTATGGAATTCAGTTAACTCCGGTGTGGAATTGTGGACTCCATGATATCGGCTGATATCAAATAAAAAAAAATAGGTTAAAATATAGGTTAAAAAACTGAGGAAAATGGAAGACAGTCTAATGAAGGGAAATTTAAACGAATTCAATGCACTGAAGTCGATTGTAAAGTTGTGACTATTCAACTATCAGCCCTTCTAATGAGGAATATGTCACCACCGTAAGAAGCGCCCCACTGGCTCTAACTAAACTTATGTCGATATCGGCACACACGAATATGGGTCTATAAGACTACCATACTCTCTATTACTATACGACGGAGCACACTAAATTAGAGGTTCCCAACTTAGGGTGCT